TTTAAAAAGCAAAAAATAATTTAATATGAGCAGCGAGCACAAACATGTTGAGGGATTGGCTGTGTTCAGTGAGAGAGTTAGTTGTAAAGAAAACCATATTCACTAGCAGTCAAAAACTAATGTGTACACTCACGTCTGCGTTTTTATTTTATTTTTTTTTAAAATACAAACAAAATCACAGCAGAAGTGCAGCCACGTGTCTGGCCAGAAAAAGAGGACGAGTTTGTTTGTTTTTTTATACTACTTGAACACTAAAGTGGCCCTCCAATTAGATGACAGTGCCAGCAGTTGCACACCACTCATTTAAGTTGGAGCCCCCTGATTTACAGCTTTTTGTCACTTTTATTGCACAGATTTGTTTTGTTTTTAATTCAGGGGTAGGCTTATCAGTCCAAAAGTGATTTGTATTTTGTTGTGGTTTTAATCTGTTTCTGAACATTTTAAAATATCTCTCTAAATGTCTTTTCGACTCATTTTGTCATCTCTGTGATGTTCTGTGGAAAAACCTTACACCCACAAATGTGAGCTATCACCTCAATAAAGTTCTCTGGAGGAGCCATCTAACACCTTGGGCCTGTGGGCCTGTGGCAGGTGGCTCCTTTTATGCCTGCAGTAAATGATTTGTGAGCAGACGTGGAAAATCAAAGCACTTGTGACAGACACTGGCTTACTTACATAGTTGGAGTTTGTTGTCTGTCTGATCCTGCTGGGTGGGCTCTCCTCATTCGGGTCGGTCTCCCAGGTTGAATCATAGTCGCAGTAGAATTCATCCGTAGTGTGAACTCGATACTCTGTGCTGTCAAACTCTTCTTCTTCTTCTTCCGGCCCTGTCAGCTTCTTCACTTCGTCAACTGCATTTTCTGTGCGTATTTCAGACTCATTTGGGTGTACCATAGAAACCTAAAACGAATAAAGTAAAGAGCAAACCACGGTATTATGCCATGTTTGTATCTCCAAGTTGCCTGTTATACAGTTGATCAATTCTTGTTTACGTTTTACATTCACAGAATACGAACTTAAAACGATTGGTGAGAAACCTGCATGATCACCCGTTACTGTAAATGTTCATTTCTTTACTCACATTTTCATCAACGGTCTCAACTCGATCATTTTGAAAGTCCTCTTGGTTAGAGCTTGCTCGCTTGCTCACGGGCACCTCACCATTATCTGAGGACGTTTTTAGTTCGGGACTAATAACCCTCTCTGCATCGTCAGGTGAATTCTTGAGTGGACGTGTGTTGTTGTCGCTTGTTTCAGGCTTATTTCTGTCTTTCTTTGAATAAGTTAAAAGTCTAAACACCACCTGTGTGTGGCGCACTATCCAGTCCCGAAGCGAGCGAAACCCATTGTATCCAACCGTGGTGCCAGCTCCATACTCTCTGCTGTTAAACTCTTCTTCTTCTGGCCCTGGCAGCTTCCTCCCGGACTCCCGGCCTTCGTCAGCCTCATGTTGACCCTCACTGACATCCCCCTCTGCGTCTTCAGATAAACTTCTGAATGAATCTTCGTTTTCTGTGCTTGTTTTAGACTCATTTCTGTCTACTTTCCTGTCCAAAGTTGAGTACGGTGAAGCAGAGCTCTTGTTTCTAAACAACGCCATTATGTTTATATCTCCAAGTCGCCTGTTATGCATTCAAGAGCCAGTCTGTTTCACTTTCACTTTTCCCGTCCAAAGACAACTTTGCAGACAGAATACAGATATCATGCTCCCTTATAATTATCTAAAAGGAGCACAGAAAAGAACATGCTAACGTTCTTTCTTCTTCTTCTTCTTATGCTTATATAGGCAGGATATACATGATTAATATTATAGCGTAACTGTTATGTATTTGTTTGCAGATCAAAGGGAGACTAGTGTTTAGCACCGCCCACTGATGCAGGTCAGGGGCGTTTCCAGGATTTGTAAAATAAGGTGACGCAGGGGTGAACAGAGCAGGGTGGCCACTGGCAGTGTTGGGGAGTAACGGAATACATGTACCACCGTTACGTATTTAAAATACAAAATATGAGTAACTGTATTCTGTTACAGTTACCGTTTAAAAAGGTGGTATTCAGAATATAGTTACTTTGTTGAAATGAATGGATCACACGGGGTCTTTTCCTGTTTCATATGTTAGGCTGTCCCCTCTCTCTTGTTGGTACTTCCACGCCGGTGGAAACCCAAACAAAACACGCATTAAGAGCCTCTAATGCCCGTGTCTCAATCTAGCGGCCCATGTCACCCCTACTTGCGGCCGCATAATGACGTGAAGAAATATTTTTAAAAAATGATTCTTCAAAAAATTATTTAATATGAAAGCAATAGTCAAAGTGTTACAGGCAT